AATCATCTAATGTACCAATAAAAACTTTTAAATAGATAGAAGTTGAATGTCCTAGAATGTTACTTTAAGGGTATAATTTTGAATTTTTTTTTATCTAAAATGCTATAATTATAATATTACGTAATATTATAAATTTACAACATAATATATCTTTGTATAATTGATTCTTTTCACTCAAAAGTTCATTTGTGATATTATTTGTAATAAATTTGTTTAATATTATGTTATACTCGTTCAATATTATATTACAATTATAAATTTATAAATTTTATATAATATTATAATTATAACACTATCATATCATGATTATAAATTTATAATTTTACATGATATTATAATTATAGCGTTACCATTTTTTTTTATTGAGAAGGACATTTGAATTGAGATGATGCAAAATCATCTTTAAGAACTCAATCAGCTCACGCTCAATTCTTATAGGCTAGAAAGATGACATTATAAAAAGAGAGTTTGTATTTTGTATAATACCATTCATTAGGCGTAATTTTTCCAATATCATGGCTCTTTTAATTTAATAATAATTAATATTTTGCTTTTGAAATTGCAAAATACTTATTTCATAAAAAGATAAAGTAAAAGGGTAAAAAAAGATTAAGAAAAAGAAAAAAAAAAAAGAAGGTAACTTTATTTTACTGTCTAAATTATATTAAATTATAAAATAATAATTATATCCAACCTTAAGAGACCAATCCCTTTATTTTATTATCTAATATTTTATTATCGAAAATGTATTAAATTATAAAATAAAAATTACTAAATAAGAAAAAAAACCTAACTTTAAGAGGCTAATTTTTATTTAAAAATTAATATAGCACGAACGGCCCGCTCCGGTCCAATGACATTGGACCCTGGTTTAGGGTTGTTCGCTTACATAGATTGTACGTTCGAACCCCATGGAACCCTTTCCCCCTTCCCCCAATTAATCTCGTAAATAAATACAATTTTTTCAAAAAAAAAAAAAATTAATATAGCACAATATGATGCAGCTGCGAATGTGGTGCACTTTTTAGATAAAAGAATCTGGTTAGCGTTAGGGCCCGGAATGAGTAACAAGGAAAATATAAACGGTCCAGCTAGCAGCAGACCCACCGTGCTGCGATCCCATTTGTCTCCGGATTCTTCGTCTTCCGCCATGGCTTCTGAGAAAGAAGCCGCTCTTGCGGCTGCCCCCTCCGATGCTCCGACCATGTATGCTTCTTCTCTCCGGCTCTCAAATTTCTGCCTCTTTCTTTTGATTCTATTTTTGAAACGCGCACAGATGAAACACATGCGCTCCGTTTGACTCGACGGAAAACGGAAAAGAACGGAAACAACTTTTCTTAGAAATTAGAGAAAAAATGTCAGCTTGATTCATGATATTGGAACCCTTTTCCTTTTTCTTATATCCAAACATATTCATTGATTGTTTTAGTAATTTAGGTGTTACTAGAATTGAATTGTCCTTTAGGTTTTTGTAAAAA